GTGTGGTCATAACTAGAACCAGATATCCTGGAGTGTGAAGTTAAGTGGGCCTTAGGAAGTATTACTAAAAACAAAGCTAATGGAAGTGATGGAATTCCAGCTTAATTATTTAAAACCCTAAAAAGATGATGCTGTTAAAGTTCTGCACTCAGTATGACAGCAAATTTGGAAAACAGAGCAGTGGCCACAGGACTGGAAAAGGTCAATTTTCATTACAATCCCAAAGAAGGGCAGTGCCAAAGAATGTTCAAACTCTGGACAGTTGTGCTCATTTCACATGCTAATAAGGTTATGCTCAAAATCCTTCAAGCTAGGCTTCAGCAGTATATGAACCAAGAACTTCCAGATGTTCAAGCTGGGTTTAGAAAAAGCAGAGGAACCAGAGGTCAAATTGCCAACGTTTTGTTGGATCATGGAGAAAGCAAGGGAATTCCAGAAAAATATCTGCTTCCACTTCACTGACTGTGCTAAAGACTTTGACTGCGTGGATCACAACAAATTGTGGAAAATTCTTAAAGAGATGGGAATACAAGGCCACCTTACTTGTCTCCTGAGAAACCTGTAGGTGGGTCAAGAAACAACAGTTAGAACCTGACATGAAACAACATACTGGTTCAAAATTAGGAAAAGAGTACTTCAAGGCTACACACTGTCACCCTCCTTATTTAACCTATATGCAGAGTATATCATGTGAAATGCCAGGCTGGGAGAATCACAAACCTCAGGTATGCAAATGACACCACCCTAATGGCAGAAGGTAAAGAGGAACTGAAGAGCTTCCTGAAGAAAGTGAAAGAAGAGAGTGGAAAAGGTGGCTTAACACTTAACATACAGAAAACTAAGACCATGGCATGCGATCCCATAACTTCATGGCAAATAAAAGGGGAAACAGTGACAAATTTTATTTGGGGGGAGCTCCAAAATCACTGTAGATGCTGACTGTCACCATGAAATAAAAAGATGCTTGCTACCTGTAAGAAAAACTATGACGAACCTAGACAGTGTATTAAAAAGTGGAGACCACACTTTACCAACAAAGGCACATATAGTTAAAGCTATGGTTTTTCCAGGAGTCATGTATGGTTGTGAGAGTTGGACCATAAAGAAGGTTGAGCACTGAAAAACTGATGCTGGAGAAGGCTCTTGAGAGTCCCCCGGACAACAAGGAGACCAAACCAGTCAATCCTAAAGGAGACCAACCCTGAATATTCATTGGAAGGACTGATGCTGAAGCTGAAGCTCCAATACTTTGGCTACCTGATGCCAAGAGCCTCCTCACTGGAAAGGACCCTGATGCTGGGAAAGATTGAAGGCGGGAGGAGAAAGGGATGACAGAGGATGAGATGGTTGGATGCCATCACCAACTCAAAGGACATGAGTCTGAGCCAGCTCCAGGAGATGGTGAAGGGCAGGAGGACTGGTTGCTACAGGCCACAGGGATCGCAAAGAGTTGGACACGACTGAACGACTGAACAGCAGCAACCATCATTCTGAGACCCCACTTGTCCTCCTCCCTCACTGAGGCCCGCCAGCCTGCCTGCCTCTCCCTCTGGGCATCCTCAGCACTGGCCCCCAGCCTGGTACTTCTCGCTAGGTCTGGTCCTGCTCTGGACACACCCCTCACCTGTAGCCCCCGCCCCCAGACTCCTGGGAAGACCCTCCTCCCACTCCCTCGGTGTCTGAGCAGCTGCATCAGCTTTCTATGGGGGATGCTTCAGAGTCAGAAGAACTTGACTCTGGGTCTGGCCCCCTTCATGCTCAGGGACCTTGGACAGGACTACACCTCCAGCCCTTGAGATCCTTCCCTGAAACATAGAGACATGGACAGTGACCCACCATGGGGGCTACTGTGACAGTTAGATGACCATGTGAATGGACACATTAGGACTGTGTAATATTGTTGATGTTATGTTGATGTTTTTTTTTAACAGGTGGAGAGCACCCTCCTCCAATATATCACACAAACCACAAATAATCCACCCGAACTCCTACACTCTGGCTTATACTGCATGCAGGGGCTGCACAGGGGACCTCAGCAGAGGGGTTGGGCTGAGACCCAGGACAGGGCCAGTTCCTGGGGAAGGAGCTGGGGAAGGGGCAGGTGTCCAAGGCTGTGCCCAGAGAGAGGGGCCGAGGAAGAGGAGCAGCCATCGAGAGGCAGAGTCCTCCCCCTGACCCTGCCCTGGGGAGAGTCCTGGAGCAGAAGGCTCAGGGAGCAGACGGACCACAGTGCTGGGCCCAGAGTGTGTGGTCTGGCTCAGGGGCCTGCCCCGGGGCCTTCTGCATTGCTTCCTGCCTGGAAGTAAAGTCGCTCAGTTGTGTCCGACTCTTTGCAACCCCATGGACTGTAGCCCGCCAGGTTCCTCTGTCCATGGGAATTTTCCAGGCAAGGATACTGGAGTGGGCTGCCATTTCCTTCTCCAGGGGATCTTCCCGACCCAGGGATCGAACCTGCGTCTCCTGTACTACACGCAGATGCTTTACCATCTGAGCCACTGGGGGCGTGTAGCCAGTTTGCTAGACTACAGCTGAAGGGCCCACCTAAGGTGTGCTGTGGGACCCCAGGAACTGCGTATATGATGAAGATCAGGCCTGGTACACAACTGTGCCTGAGCAAACAGCCCAGCCATGGCCCTGACCCAAAAGGAAAACCTAAAGACACACAGAGTGACTTGACAAAAGGGAAACAGTGTCTGTTTTTCCCAGCGCTGACTAAGATCAGGGAATTTCGACACTGCCCAAGGGTGGTTGGCAGACGGAAACTCCTTATCAGTTTTGGTTTTGGCTCCTGGGCTCTGACAACAGCCACCCCCTCCATTCTTGGAAATGACCCCCAGATCCAGAGGTGTAGTCCCTCGGGGCAAAGGGGGCAACCCAGGTGCACAGGTGGGCTGACACTGGGAGAAGGGCCCCCACCCTGTGCTGTCAAAGGGAGGGTTCCGGACAGACCCTCCCCCACCTCCCCAGGGCCCCCACTCCAGGGGTCCGTCTCCCCAGGCTCTGGTCTCAGGGTTTCGCCCACAACACAGGGACCCCGGAGGTGTCTGAGAACCCTGCCGAGACCCGGGCACAGGCAGCCCGTCCTCCCTCCTGCTCCAGGGAGTGGAGGGCACACACAGGAGGCCAGAGCTGGGAACTTTCACAGGGCAGCCTGGCTGGCACTGCCAGGGTCATCCATCCCAGTCCCAAGGCACTCGGGCTGAGCCACCCTGCCCCCTCCTTGGGGTCCTTTGGCCCAGTCTGTCTCTCTGGCCTCAATCTGGGCTCCCCCAGGGCATCTGGCTCTGTTCCCAGTTTTCCTGGTGGTGGAAAAGGACAAAACCTTTGCCTGCCAGGGAGCTTACACTCCTTGCATGCACCCACCCCTCTCCGGCGGGACCGAGGTCCTGCCTTCCCTTCTGGGATCTCCCCACACTTGGGTGGAGATCTCCAGCAGTGTGTGGGAATGTTCCCACATTTTCACTCTATGTGGTGGAGGCAGACATAGAGGAGGGGCTGTTGTGCCCCATAAAGGACAGGACGTCTTTTCTTCCCTCTTCTCACCTCATGGAGGTGAGCTGCACACTTTCATCTCATCATCACATCAGTGGTGTCAGGCTCTATTTAGGGTCCGGATGTTCATCACTAGGTTCTACTAAGGCCTTTACCAAACCAGCATCTCCCTGGCCTCAGGGAGATGGCGTGGGGGTGTGCTGGTCCCGGGGCTCCTGCTGCCCCAAGGGCCTTGGGCTCGAGGGAGAGCACGTGGGAGGGTGCTGGCGGGCGCAGCGGGAGAAGAGAGGGGTGAGGCCCACCCAGATCTGAGTCGATAGCTCCTCCTCCTCTCACCTCTTCTCTCTGCGACTCGGGTGACTGAAGACTGAAAACATTGGCAAGAAGGTCGAACACTGCCACCTCGGATATCCCTCCAAACTTCACCAAAGATGGATTCTCTTAGCTGCCTGCGCTGTGTGATGGTCGGTCACTGGCACATGGACCCCTCTCCCCCCACCCCCTAGATGTGGAAACAAGCTAGGTTGGCTTGTCTGCATTGGAGAGGGGCAGCCAGGCCTTAGTAGGGAACAGAAGGTCCAGGGGTGCCTGGCTAGGCTGGGGTATGGAGGGTGAGGAAGGAGGCGGTGTTGGAGAACATTCTAGAAGAGACCTCAGAGCTACTAGATGAGGAGCTACACTGGCCGGGAGACCTCCCCTGGGGATGCGGGAGCCAGGTGCCCTCCCTGCGATGGAGCCCTGCCTTGGTCTGCCCACAAGACGCTCCTGCCCAGCCTTGAGGGGCAATTGATGCTGGGCTGAGCTCAGAGAGATCCTGGCACTCTGGCTGCTGGAGCCACCTGGGAAGGGGTGGGGCAGATTTGGGGGCTCAGCCCTCTGAGGGTCCTCCAGGGCACAGGGGCTTAGCAACAGGAGCCCCAGACTCTTCAGGCCATCCTCTGCCCCCAGCACCAGCTTTCAGGCACCAGAGACCCTCCGTCAGAAACCTGGGGGTGAAGGTGGGGGAACCAGGAGAACTCAGTGGGTTGGGTGATGGGAGGAGACACTAGGGATGCGAGAGCAGGGCTTGGTTTGAATCAGGACCACATCTTCCGTCCCTGGAAGGCAAGAACTGGGCCACAGTGGTGGGGAGAGTCTCAGGAACCAAGCCTAGTCTCTGTGACCCAGGTCCTCATACAGATGCCATCTCCTACTCAGAAGTGTCCCCCCACTGCCTGCCTGATTGGCCGCTGCTTCGCAGATGACCTCCCACACACCCTCCCAGACCGCACTGGTCCATGGTCAGTCCTGGTGGCATCCAGGTAGGGCCTTTGTCAGAACAGGGAAATGGAAACCGAAGCTGTCCACGAAGGTGTGACATCTGGGTGGGGAAGTTCATGGGTGGCATGAGTGGCCCAAGTTCAGGAAAGGGTGAGGCCCAGCTCCGCTGACACAACAGCTTCCAGGCGCTCTGATGATATATAAGGCTCCTGCCGCTTGAACACCTTTAAGGAGGAGGCCACAGGCTGTGACTGAGCATAGAATCAGAGGACTCGGAGCCAGGGACGGTAAAGAAGTTGATTCATGGGGCCCAGCAGAGCGGGGCCGGATACCATACAACAGGGGACCCAGGATAGGGGCAGAGTGGCACTGAGAGGCCACGTCCAGTCAGACTCCAGGCGGAGGATTGGGTCATCATCGGGGCTCTGAGCACCCTGCACTGCTCCTGCGGGGAGACCCTGACTTCCCCAGGAGCCCCCAGCGGGGGTCAGAGAGGGAGGTCTAGTGGCTCCAGCAGAAATGTGGGGTGCAGGAGGAAGGGGTGTGGCAGGGAGGGGAGCCCTGGGCAGTCCCAGAGGAGCCCCGTGTCTTGTGACTTCTCCCACCTTTGTCCTCAGACACCTGATGGACAGATACACCTTCATTGAGAACTTCAACAATCAAGGATGCCCTTTCAAGACCTACCTGTGCTACGAGGTGGAGAGGCTGGATGGGGTGATCCCTCTGGATGAGTACAAGAGATTTGTGTGCAACAAGGTGACCCACCCAGCCTGCCCGCAGCAGGCGGGCCCTCCCCGTGGTGGGACACCCAGGGTAGAAGGTTGTCAGTGGCACACGGGGTGTCCCACAAGCTCTCTGCCAGGAATCAGGTGGGGACCCTTTTTGTGTGATTGACAGCTTTGAGCCACATTTCAGAAGCCAGTCACAGCCACCCAGCGCCTGGCACCTCCAGTCCAGTGTCTTGGTTACTCCTCTCCTGCTCCGCCTCTGGGGAGGAGTTGGGATGGAGGGCGATGCAAGTGGACAAGGGGCTGGGTTCTTCCCTGGACTCTGCCCAGGGCAGGCTCTTGCCAGAGAGCCCGATCCTCTCTCAATCACCACAGGCTTGGGCGGCCGGGCGAGACATCCGCCCACTGCTTGAGAGATTCTGGCAAGGGTACTGATCGCCACAGCCCCGCCGATGCCAGCTGTATGTAGTCCAGGGCTGCGCTGGGCCCAGCACAGGGCGATGCCCAGAGCAGAAGCTTGTAGAAGTTTGGGCACACACGTGGGTTTGGTGGGGTAGGGTCGTGGAGGAGCTGGAGAGCAGAGTGAATCCCTCCAGGGAGGAAATGCCCACTTCCATGGCAAGAGGCCAGTGTCGGAGCTCCCCTGGCCTCCTCCCTCCCGGCACGGCTGGATTATGCCCTATCACGGGCACAAGATAAGACGGACTCCAGCAAACTCAGAAATCAAGATGAATCATGCTTAAACTCACTAGTTTAAAAATCAAAATTAACGCAATTCTGTGATGCAGGAAACAGCAACATCTGCCTGAAGACTGATCAGTGTCAGAGCTTTGCAGAGCCATAGGGATACAGTGTCTCTCAAGGGGTTTGGCATTCCTTTGATCGTGTAAATCCTGCACTGAAATAGCATTTCACTGTGTGCTGAGGCTTGCCCCCACTCTAACTTCGTGCTGGGGGCCAGCGCCTCACCCGCCTTCCTTCCATGGTCGTTCCCTCCGTGCTAGCCCGTACACAGCAAAGGACAGGGCGCGTGTCTTCCTCTTTTTCGTAGGGTCCTGATCAACCACACGGACCCCACCATGCGGAGTTCTACTTCCTGGAACAGATCCGTTCTAGGAATCTGGACCAGAATCAGCGCTACAGGCTCACCTGTTTCATCTCCTGGAGTCCCTGTTACTCTTGTGCCCACAACCTGACTACGTTCCTGAAGGAGAACCGCCACATAAGCCTGCGCATCTTTGCCTCCCGCCTCTATACCAGCAACCGTTTTGGGGACTATCAGAAAGGCCTGTGCGAACTGCAAGCGGCTGGGGCCCAAATCACCATCATGACCTCTCAGGGTCGGCAGGGGTCTCCTGGGGGTGGGGCAGTGGCAGGGAGAGACCTGTGGGAAGTTGCCAGAAAGAGGTGGGCAGGGTGGGAATCCCTGGTACAGAGGCCTTTGTGTGCTGCCTGAGAAGGGAGGCTAGACTCTGGAAAGCGCCTGTGGGAAGAGAGAGTTCAGAGGGGCAGAGGTGGTTCAGGAGGGGCCGGTGGGTGGGTGAATGTGTGTGGACTAGCGGGTTTCCAGAAAGAAGGAGAACGGGCTGGCTCAGATTCCAGTAGCAAGAAAGAATCTGAGGGCTTGCTTCAGCTGCACGTATGCAAACGCTGGAACGATGCAGAGAAGATTAGCATGCCCCCTGGGCAAGGATGACACACAAACTCATGAAGCGTTCCTTATTTTCCTCAGGTGAAAAAAGGAACATGCTGACTCAGTTCTAGAACCTATTATACAGAGCTAAGTAAGTCAGAAAGAGAAAGACAAATATCATACATTAACGCATATATATGGAATCTAGAAAGATGGTACTGATGAACCCGTTCGCACAGCAGCAAAGGAGACGCAGACATAAAGGACAGAATTTTGGACACAGAGGAGAAAGAAGAGGGTGGGATGATTTGACAGAGTAGCACTGAAACACGTACATTACCATATGGAAAATAGATAGCCACTGGGAATTTGCTATGTGACGCAAGGGACCCAAAGCCAGGACTCCGTGACAACTGAGGAGGGTGGGGTTGGGGAGGGAGATGGGAGGAAAGGCCCAGAGAGAAGGGACACGTGTGTACCTATGGCTGATTCATGTTGGTGTGTGGCAGAAACCATCACAACATTGTAAAGCAATTACCCTTCAATTAAAAATAAAACGAAAAAAATTTTTAAAGAAGAAAGAATTTGAGGGGTAAGCTAAGTCCTTGAAAGGAAAAGAGAGAGGAGGCAGCGAAATGATGATGGGGAAGTCCACCCCTAGACTGGAGCTCACCTTTCTCTCCCCGGCTCCATTTCAGACTTTGAGCACTGCTGGGAAACCTTTGTGGACCACCGGGGAAATCCCTTTCAGCCCTGGGAGGGGCTGGAGGCAAAGAGCCAAGAGCTCTGTGAGAAACTGCAGGCCATTCTCAGGGTGAGGTTTCCTCCCGGCTGCTTCCCTGGACCTCCCCCCTCCTCTCCTCTTCTCTCCCTGGGCCTTTATCTATGTCTGGGCCACTCAAGGTCTTCATTGCAGCATGCAGGGGCTTCTCTCTAGTTTGGGGGGGGCGGGGCCACAGGCATCTCTTGTTGCTAAGCAAGGGCTCCAGGGTGGGCTGCGCACTTCTCTGGTTGTGGCGAGCACTTAACTGCCCTGAGGCCCGTCGGATCTTCATTCCCAGACCAGGGGTGGAACCCGTGTCCCCTGCCTTGGAAGGCAGTTTCTTAAACCACCAGGGGAGTCCCTGCCTGGGCCTCTTCCCTCTTTTTAGAGCCTCCTCCGGGGTGATCTGCTCCCTCCTGGGGACACCGGCTCCATCCCTTCTTTCCTTTCCCCAGGGGTCCCTCTACTTTCTCACAGGCTTGTGTCCCTCCCTCCTTCCCCATCTGTGTGACACTCCCCAGACCTCTCTGTGTTTCCTCTTCCAACGTTCTCATTCCCTGCTTCGTCCTAGACTCAGCAAAACTGAAGGATGGACGCCAGCCTCTCTAAAGAACAGGAGACCTCTATTGAACAACAGAACAAAACACCTTCTTTTAAGAAATATAAACATGCCATTTGCTACTGTCTCCAGACTGATCCAAACAGACCAGCAAAAAGCAAATGGCTCAAAAGAAATAGCTTTTTTAAAATAAAAATCTGAGTAGATTTACTTTTCATTCAAACCTATGTTGTGTTTCAAATCTACATCAGTAAGATTCTATTCAATACTATCAGAATAGTTTCCGATTTTTAGATAAATGAATATTGTAATTGATTTTATTTATTTTTTTTTGTATTTTTTTTTGTAATTGATTTTAAATGCAAAGCAATAAAATGAAATAATAAGAATCTCTCATTCGATTTTTTCCCTTAGTAAATGTATCATGAACTATAAATAGTTTATTAAAAGTTGCAAAGATACAGATGTCTTTTTATTTTGTAGTGGATCTGATTCATGGTGGGGTGGAGGTATAGTGGTCACACCAGTGCCTGCTGGTATGAGTAAAAATCAGCTAAACCTTGTAGGAGGGAAACCTAGGATTCAAAAACCTGCAGCCCTCAACAACCTATCACACTGCTAATACTACTGGTTTTGAAATGACAGACCATGCGATAAGAGAAGAGAAAGAATGAGTCTCAATATTGAAAGGGAACTTTCAAATCTCCAGCTAGATAACTCCAGGAATTACCCCAGTCCCCACACTACTGCCCTGGAGAGGAAGCCAGAGGGAGGGGCTGTTGTGCACAGAGGATGAACTGGCCCCTGCACAGTACATGGACCCAAGCAGGACTGGTCTCAGGCACTAGATTTCTCTCCTGCCATTCACTCCGTGGGGACTGAATTGAGCTGAGCCAGCCTTGCACAAGGCATCCAGACAGCAAAGTCTCCCCAGGTCTCTCCTCTCAGACTTCTGATCCTGTGTCAAGGGCCCCAAATGTGTCTCAACCTCACACAAAGGGGCCCAAACTGTGTCACAACCTCACACAAACATGTGACTCTAAGAAGCTGGGAGCAGAACCATTCGGTGTGAGACCTGAAGCAATAGAAAATGAGGGACAGATGATGATGATGGTTGAGAAGGGAGGAAGGGACTAAATCAGGGAGGGTTGGTGCACGTGAGGGAAGGAAGGACAGGTAGAAGAAGGTATCCTGGGAGGGAGGGGGGAGGGAAGAGGTAAGGAGAGGAGAGGAGCAGGGCTGAGACCCAACAATGGGAAGACAAGGGGCCTAAGGAAATGATGCTGGGATGAAGGAGGGTGGACAGGGTCAGAGCTGTCTGGAAAGGCTGGAAGTACAGCTCATTTCATAAAATAAACCATGTGGGCCAGGTAGATTGGTCCAGGCCTGGCTTGGTGGCTCAGTGATGCTGTCGAGACATGGCCCACTATTGCTGTTCCCTCAGCTCAGCTCTCAGTATTTGCCTCCTCAGGGTCTCGAATGGCTGCCTAACTCCAGACATCACACCTCATTCCAGAGGGGAAGAAAGAAGATAGGACAAACCCCAGAACTTCAGAGCCCATACGTTCTTTTAATGGACACTAGCAGTGTCTTACCGTGAGAGGCGGCTGGTGGGAAAAACTCTGTTGGCGTTTCATTTGACCCAGTTTGGGCCACAGAGGGAACAAGATTGNATAAGATGGTTGGATGGTGTCACCGACTGGATGGACATGAGTTTGAGTAAACTCCAGGAGTTGGTGATGGACAGGGAGGCCTGGTGTGCTGCGATTCATGGGGTTGCAGAAAGTCAGACATGACTGAGCGACTGAACTGAACTGAACTGAACTGAGGGCCGTTGGGCAGTTAAACATCAAGTACTTAGGACGATGTTGACATAGTTATTCTTCAACCGATGATGTCACTATTTAAAAAAGGGGGAGAGATCATCCATTTAATAAATCACTCAATCTACAATAAACCATCAGCCCTCCAGCTTGCCCTGGCTCACACCACGTGCAGCCAGGTGCCAGGGAAGACGTGGGTGACAAGTGGCATCTGGGGCCTTGGCAGCAGAGTCTTTACAGCCCAGACCCAGGCCGGGCCTGTTTCCCTCCTCTCAGCGTTGCTGATGGGGCCTCACCTCCTCCCTCCTGGGGGCTCCTTCTCTGACCCCTGGGGGCTCCTCCTGCACTCCTGACCCTGGGCCTGGCCTCTTCCCATGGGTCCCAACCATGTTCTCCACTGATGCCCTCATTTCTGTGTCCCTTCCTCCTCCTTCTGCAGGTGTTTCAGGGGGCCTGCAAGTCCCCAGAGATGCTGGAGTCATGCCCACGGGAGGGAAGATGCACCAAGAGGGGACCCTTTCACTTGTCTTCAACACCCACCTTTGGTTACAAACTCACCATGTCTCCCAGCTTTGACCAAGCCCTTTTCACACCCAAGCTCATCCTGGCTTTACCAAATCTCAGGGAATTACTGCTTAGCAACACTTGGCTATGAAGCAAAGTCCTCTTTCTCTCTTCCCAAGGTCTCACAGGTAGGTCGAGGCCACATTCACACCTGGGTCCCTGCCAATCCCCAGCCAACCCTGAGAGACCTTCCTAAGGGCTGTTATATCAGGATACACACAGGGAGGCTGAAGAAGGCTGCAAGCAAAGCCGGGGTTTGCAGCGCCAGAGTCTGGAGTTGACCTGGTTAGACCCAGAGTGCACGTGGGAGACTTCAGAGCACGGGGGAGGGACTGAGACAGGACCGATCCCTGGGGAGACCTGGGGAGAGGGCGAAGGAGGGGCAGGGCTGAGGCCTGGAGGGGGCCCGGCGTGAGGGGACAAGGCCATTTGTTACCTAGGGAGCTGGAGGGCTGGTCTCTCATCACCCTGGACCCCCGAGAAGACGCGAGGCTCTGTGTGGTGTCCGGGGTCCAGACACAGCACTGTAACAGAGGACGGCCGGGGGCTGACTGCACAGCTGGTTTACTTTGAATTTCAGATGAATAATAAATAATTTGGAATTTACTTAACCAAAAATGTATTCACATTTAACTGGAGTCCTATGTTTTTGTCGGCTAAATCTGGCTGCTCTTTTTATTTTTGGCTGTGCTGGGTCTCCATTGCTGCTAGGGCTTTTTCTCTAGTTGCACCAAGTGGGGGCTACTCTCTGGTTGCGGCGTGCGGACTTCTCATTACAGTGGCTTTTCTTATTGAGGAGCACAGGCTCTAGGGTGCTTGGGTTTTAGTAGTTGCAGCTCACAGGCACAGTAGTTGTGGCCTCCGGGCTCTGGGCACAGGCTCGGTAGTTGTGGTGTCCACGCTTAGTGGCTCTGCGGCATGAGGGATCTTCCCGGGCTAGAGATCAGTCTTGAGTCTCCTTCACTGGCGGGCGGATTCTTTACCACTGAGCCCCCAGGGAAGCCCTGGCTGCTCTTTTCATGCAGGAGACATTTACAGGAACTCCCATCCTCGTCGAAGCCCTGCTTGGGCTGAGTGGGTCTGCACCCTCGCTGGGGGTCCTTTGGTTCCAATCTTCCCTCCCATGAGCTCCCTGGAGCACCCCACCCTTCCCCCACGATGGCTGCTGAGAGGCTCCAAACAAGATGCCCATTAACAGGGGCATGCTTCCTGCCTGGTTGTGGAATATCAAAAGGGGGAAATCCTTTGAACGTGACACCAAGAGACTCCTTTGAGCTGCACGAGCGTCATTGCACAAGCAACGTTGCAACACTATGGAAGGAAGGATAACTGCTCATTCAGCAACAAATGTTTGCACACCCTTTTTTTTTTCCATTTATTTTTATTAGTTGGAGGCTAATTACTTTACAACATTGCAGTGGTTTTTGTCATACATTGAAATGAATTAACCATGGATTTACATGTATTCCCCATCCCGGTCCCCCCTCCCACCTCCCTCTCCACCCCATCCCTCTGGGTCTTCCCAGTGCACCAGGCCTGAGCACTTGTCTCATG